TGCCGACGCCGATTCCTCCTGAGCCGGGAGGGCTGCACCGGTTGCATGTCGGCCTGCACGCTTTACAAAGCAGTAAAATTAAAGATTAATGTTAAACAGCAACAGATCTTAAAAATCCGATCTACTCCACTCCGCTCCTGCCTTCCCCCAAAAAAATCTATTTCCTTTTTAAAAAAAAAAAGAGTTTTAAGGAAGGGAGCCAGTCTTCCTAAAAAAATCTATTTCCTTTTTTAAAAAAAAGAATTTTAAGGAAGGGAGCCAAGTTTCCCTCGGTTTCTCCCCCCCCCCCAATAAAATCCTGCCGCAACTTTAAGGCTAGCAGATCTATTTTACTGTGAACTTTGGGGGAACGACCAGAACTCAGCTTGGTTTTTTTCCTCTACAGTCCTCATAGGGCTGGAAGATGCTGGTATGTATTTATAGCCCCAAAGTAGCCTACAAAATTCTGGCATTTACCATTCACTTCTCAGACACAATCCAATTTTTTAAAAACATCGTGGATAGTGGTGGTGGTGGTGGTGGGTTTTTTTGGTTAAAATGAAAAGCCCTTCCTAATCTGGGGGAGTAAAATGAGAAGTTACTTATCCTGAGCTAAATGAATAATACACAGCCTCATTAAAGTGGAGGTGGAGGGGACTGATCCTGAACCATGAAGATGGGTGCTGGAATAAAGGAATACACCAACCTCAACCTGGAATGGGAAGGAGGAGGAGGAGTGGAAGGAAGAAGACGGAGGGATGATTTTGAAAAATCAGGAGGACTGAGAACGGCAGACCCAAAAATCCGATTTAAGGCAGAGGTGTGCCATTTGTGGCCTTCCAGCTGTTTCTGGACTACATCTCCCCTCATGCCTCACCTTTGGAAATGCTGTCAAAGGGCTGGTCGTCAGAATTGTGAGCCCAAAACATCTGGCGGACCGCCGTTGCCCACAGTTTTCTTTAATGATAAAGAAAATTATTAACTAGTGAAAGCATCTGAGTGTCCCAGCTGGAGTTTCTCCCATTTTTACCAGTAAGGACATGGGCTTGCTCTCTTTGATTATTGGTTGGAAAACATACCTTTCTGGTTGAGAACTTTGAGATTCCAATGCTTGCCATTCTAATCTGGGCTCTCTCTAATACTGTATCTTTCCAGCCCTACACTCTTTGTTCCTTGTCTCAGGTAAGGAGAGGAATTGGGATGTAGCTCCATGTGCGTCCCACGAGGGGGCGGGAGTAGCCTGCGCTAAGGTGAGCACAAGGGTCTGGATTGTCTTTTAACTCTCCTCCCACCCCACCCCACCCCTTGGCTTGCTGTAAACTTACTTTGCACGGCCCCATGGGTTGCAAAAAAACAACAACGCCAAAACAAAGCAAGCACACAGGGCAGCTGGACTGGCTCAGCAAGGAGGCAAATGGAGAATGAGCCCAACCAGCCTGACATGAGAGCACCGTTTTGCACACTTGTCTTCTATCTCTCTCGCTCGCTTGGAAACACCATCTTTTAAACTATTTACCTCCCATGATATGCCAGCATCATTGTATTGTGCGCAAATAGTCATCATCTCTGTGCTAATTTCCTTTGGAAAGTCTTACTACCCCTTACGGTGCTATTATTCTTCCTTTCTATGTTTTAGAAATATTTCATTTCTATCGATCAGAGGATGTGACTATACCAAACACTCAGCTTGCTGGAAGTTTTAAAATCTGGGTCCCTGGTCGCTCCTGCTGCTAAAATCTCTGGAGTTGCTCACTTCAAGATAATGAATTGTTCCCTTGTCAGAGTCCACACCACCGCTTCCCAATCAGTTCAGTTTCCACAGGGAACACAGCCATGCCCTATTAACACCATCTTCTTCCTTTCCCTTTGTCCTCCTTTTAAATTAATTTATATATTTTTTGGAAGTGACATAGCACTTACCTGATACAGCACTAAATCTGACAAGAGTACAGTAATTTTTTTTTAAAAAAAGGATAACGTGTGTGTAAGAAGGGAGGCAACAGGTACACAATTGAGAAGAATTATCTGACTGTAAATTATTCACAAAGACTTTCACAGCCAGGATCCGATGGCTGTTGTAGGTTTTTCGGGCTATCCTACTGTAACTTTGCTTCACCCTGAAGCTGTCACTGGCTGCATAGGGCATGTCTATGGGTGTCCCTCTGGACTGGCACATGCCAGAAAACAGAAAAGAGTAGTGCCCGTTGAATCAGTACAAAATAAACCACTACCACCCCTGCCGGCTGACCAGAAAACGACAGCAGCAAAACAAATGCTTGCTGAGCAAGACCTTGTCTTCCCTGCATTTAGCTTGTTATGTATTGTAATCACAAGTAAATATTCCAATTTTTATCATGCTAACTCCAACACAAGGTGCGGGGGTGGCCAAAACACAAGTCACATCCTTGCTCTCCCACAAGAGCTGCCCATGGCAAGAGAATAATAAAATATTATCCAGCCTTTCTGGAGAAGTCAGTCCCTGTCTTCATCAGATTCACCAGTTGGGAGGCAGGGGGAGAAAAAGAAGGGGTTGGTCAAGGTTGAGCATCCCTTGTGTTGATGGATTCCCATGTGACTAATGAGCAAGATCCCGAACACTATGAAGGGCAGGACAAAGCTGGTCAGCAGACAAGCCAAGGTTTGCCAGGGCAGCCTCATTTTAGCTACTAAGCCCATGTTAGATGCACGGCGCACATATCCACCCCGTTTGCCCTCCATGGGAATTCGGCCCCATATCCTCTCTCTCTCTCTCTCTCTCCTCTCTCTGATGGCTGGTAATGGGACTCTGAAGATAAACTGAGTGACTTCAATGAATGAATGGTCTGCAAAATATCACTTTCTGCTGTCAAAGAATTTGGGGATTTCAGAGAGGATATGACTCTGAAAAACACATGATGGGAAATGAAGCAGAAGGGCAGCAAGCCTTTTTTTTTCCTTTTTGACCCCTTTGCACCTAAAAAAAAGGGAACCTGACCGACTGGAAGGAAGTAGAGAAAGGAACATTTTCGTCTTGAGTTGAAGACCTGACTCAGAGATGCGTGCCCTCTGTTTCATCAGAGAGGGTGCGCAAAGCTTAAAATGATGCAGAAATCCACCCTATTACCAGTAAGAGATCATA